TGCAATTTAAAGCATGCTAAGGGTCTCAAAAGCATCCTAAAAGAATGGTTAAGTTTGATGCGTTGCCACGGCTACAGTTTTAAAGATATCAAGAATCCATTCACAGGTCTTCATCTGCTGTGTATTTGCAGTATACAGATTAAGTTTGAAGCAAATCGACTAAAAATTAGAGGGTGATTTCAAAACATTTTGAAAATGACACACTTCCTGCTGCCAGTTGGTGGCGCTATAACTTTGACTCACAATAGTCACATCCATGTGATCGTCCTCTTACAGCGAACACACTGCTGAAGTTTCATCAAGATCGGTTGATGTATGCTGAAGTTATGAAACACTTTCTGTTTCACGTTTCTCGCCATAATTTCGTTTCCTCGCCACGGCCAAACCGTTCGAGATATCAAAAATCCCCTCGCAAACTTTCATCTTCAATGCCTTGACTTCACGCTGACCGAAATTTCGTCGAATTTGGATCAGAGCTCTAGGAGGAGTATTTAAAATTCCATTGCGAGTGTTTTACGAACAACCCTAAATAGCCGACTTCCTGTTGGGCTGGGGTAAAAAGTAAAAGTGCGAAGTATATATGAAACAATGAGATCGACATGTGTACCGGGTTTCATAATATTATATACAAGCGTGTTTGAGTTATGGACCAAGTGTTCGGAGCCCGTTCCAGGGGGCGCTGTCGAGCCCCCCTGCCACGCCCGGGTACCATCTTCAGCCCGGCCCTGATGGCCGCGGGTTCTGACCCGTGTGCAAAGTTTCAAGAGTTTTTGAGCATGTTAAGGGCCCCAAAAGTGCCCGAATAGTCGTTAGAAAAATAAAAGAAAAAAAAAAAATAATCGGAAGGAAAACAATAGGGCCTTCGCCCTTTCAGGGCTTGGGCCCTAATAATAATAATCGTTAGGAAAACAATAGGGCCTTCGCCCTTTCAGGGCTTGGGCCCTAATAATCCTTAGGAAAACAATAGGGCCTTCGCCCTTTCAGGGCTTGGGCCCTAAAAATCCCCAGCTGGAGTGCCACTGTTAGCCACCAGAGGGCACTTCACCCCAGACTATAGAGAGCCTAAGTCCCGCCCCTCCGCTTCCGGCTCATGGGGCCTTATTTCGGAAAAAATATGAATGGTAGTCAATGGCGAGAGACAACTTATGTTTTTATTCCGTCTGAACTGTGCCCTCAATTACACATATGATGTTTGTCAATTTAAAAGATAATTCTGAAAGTCAAAAACGTCGCCGTTTGTCATACAACAGAAGAGTGACATTTAGTTTTATGTGAAAATCGCTCTGTGAACTACATCTCCCTGGAAGAGAAACGAGATCCGCTGCTCGTGTGTGTGCAGTCTGGTACAAAACACTCAGGTATGACGGCGTAACGTTACGATTATAACGTAAGACTGTAGAAACAATGACAGACAATAGCCTCAGTAAAGTTAGCGTCATTCATTGAGAGAAAATGTGCGCCTTTGGGGTTTGTAGTCTTTGTAATTACGTATTTTCACAGTTTTATACCTCAACGGTTTTACATCAAACTGCAACTTTCTTTACTTTAAAATGTATCTTTTAAATTGATGAACATCATATGTGTAATTCAGGGCACAATTCAAACCAGATCAAAATATTTGTTGTCTCTCGCCATTGACTACCATTCAATATTTTTCCGAAATAAGGTCCCATGGTGGTCGACCGGAAGGGGAGGGACTTAGGCTCTCTATACGCACAACCGGCGCTGCGTCATAGAATGTCTCTGAATAGGTTCACGCCCACTTTTGGGGGAAAACAAACTAGACTCCCCATAGACTTCAATACAAAATAACAGCAAAAAACAACGTCCGTACACAGCCGACAGGCGTAAATAACTTAAGAAATCACTTATATAAAACATGTCAAGTAATTACAGTATATGTCCACCCTGTTTGCCATAGAGCGTGAAAGATACATACATAAACTTAAATTGGCCAATTTAAAAACACGTCCCTTTATTCTCCCAGCGTCAAAATGGTGTAACAACCCCACCCAGTGGCCAGAGGTGTCTCACCCGGACATTTATTTGTACCTCTTAGAGTCACCAGGTAAGCCCCTGAATGATTTTATTTCGTTTTTTAAAGTAAAAAACCTTAATGTATACAGTATATTATGAATTTATGATGATGATGGCAGGTAGCCTGGGCCCGGGCATAAAAAAATTTTATCTTTCACGCTCTATGGCAGGCAGGGTGTCCATTATAATTACTTGACATGTTTTATATAAGTGATTTCTTAAGTTATTTACGCCTGTCGGCTGTGTACGGACGTTAGTTTTTGCTGTTGTTTTGTATTGAAGTCTATGGGGAGTCTAGTTTGTTTCCCCCAAAAGGAGGCGGGGACAAAACTGACAGTTAAGTTCCCGGATGTGCCGGTTGTGCGCATCACAAACTACATTTCCCAGAACTCACTGCCTGATCTCATCATCACTGATTGTATTCAGCTGTGTCTCATTATCTCATTTCCTCTGACATTTAAAAGCCACTTATCTCTCAGGCTACGTCCACATTAATCCGGATACATTTGAAAACTGGGTTTTCGTTTAAAAACGCTCTCCGTCCACACTAGCGTTTTCAGACGTTTTCCGACGTTTCAGTGTGGATGAGAAACTTCTAAATTCACTTTACTGCGCATGCGTGAAACTTCACAAAAGCTCACTGAGATGATACAGAGGGGAAAATAAATAATAAAAAGTAAAGTTATCACGCAATTCTTCTAACAGGATAGTTTTATTTAGCAAAATAAATCGTCCAGGTCGCATTCAGTCACCATATGTTTGGTCTAAAATATTTGCTGCTGCAGGACAGTACATTATCTGTCCTCTTTGCAGTACTGTGCTATGAAGAATAGCACATATTAAGTAACATAGAAAGCAATAGTGTAAAAATGAATAACACATAACAGGCACAATACCGATAAACATGAATATCTATTGGTACTACATGGATCACATGACTAAACTTACATCATCGTTTTGAAATACCTACAATGCGAAAATGGCGTTTTCAAATTTATCCACTTTGGAGAGCGTTTTCCAAAAGAAACGTTTTCGTTGACTTAAAAAGCCGTCTCAGTGTAGACGGAGAGAAAAATATATACGTTTTCAAACGAAAACCTATTAGTGTGGACATGGCATGAGTCACTCTTTGCAAAGAGCACTGCTCTGGCTTTGCTTTCTCATGAGTTTTGACTTTCTGCCCGGTTCCTTAGGATTTCTCTGTTTTGATTAGATTTCACTCTATTATTTTGACCTTTGCCTGTTTTTTTTGTTTTGTTTTTTAAATATGTCTTTGGATTACCCTCTAATAAACTACTGCATTTGGATTTTCAACCCTTGCATCTCCAAACAGTTCATAAAAAAAAAAATTAAATTAGAATGTTGCCTTATTTGACATATATTAGAAATATTTAAAAAAACAAAAACTAATAAACATGACAAAAGCACATAACAAAATTACTAAAACTAAAATAAAAAGCTAATTTAAAAGAAATACTATAATAGTATATAAATAATACTAAAATAACACTCCTGCAGGACTATCATTGATTAACTTTAGGTTATTTCCTTCAGTTATAATTATCTAAAAGAAAGCCTTTCTTGAATCAAACAATCATTTTATGTGCCTATTTATCATACAAAAATAAATGGTTTATATGGTATCCTCTAATTTTGTACAACCCTGGTCACCTTATAGTTTTATAGCATAAAAAAAAAGTTTGTTATCCACTTCTTTTAATCTAATTAAAAGAAAAGTCAATTGTGTCTATAAGCAGGATTGTGAGCACACACATATTCAATGTTGAAAAACGTTTTAAGAGATATCATCCATCAATAGCTAATAGCTTCCGCAATCAGGGAGGTTTCTAGACTCTCACGGGAGGATAAATGTGCTCAAGTTAGTCTTAGCTGAACAGTACAAACCCCTTGACGTTTTTTGTTCCAGGAACGTGATTTGTTATTCAGTATTTCTAGAAACCATCAGGTCAAAGCATTAGACGACTTCAAACCTCAAGTCATTTTATGAAACGTAAAAAATAATGTTGACGGGCTCTCGATCACTGTCACTATTACAGCTAAAGAGCCACTCGCAATAGCATTAGCACCAGCATAATCCAATTACCCTCTGCCTGGAAATGTGAATTTAAGTCTTCAGTTTCTAGATTAACCCTCTGGGGTTGTTTGGCCCAAATGGACCCGAAAAATTTACATACATTTTTTTTTTTAAATCACAGCTTCCTCAGAATGGTCCGAAATTTGGTGACTTTGTTGGTATTTGGTATTTGAACACCCAAAAAAATTGGGGACAGGATGTGAATAGTCTAAGTGGTTGTAAAAAAAAATAGTCACACTTGGGGTGTTCGGGTCCAAATGGACCCGCATGGAAAATTAATGGGAAATTGGCAAAAATGTGAAAATACTGAGTTTTTTTGTGCGTACAATCTACAAATCAGCCACGATCTTGAAAAAAAGCACACCACAGTGAAGCGGTGAATCTATAAAACATCAAGAGTGCAAAACAGACACATCCAGACACACACAAACACTTTTATACACAAACACACCAAAAAATTCAGATTATACATGTGTTTTGCATTTTTAAAATGCTCAGTGTGTCCACCAGATGGCATCCATCTCATTTCAAAAATTGCTTTTATGAGGCCTAGACTTGACTCGAAAATGAAATACAGCTGAAAAAAAGTTTTTTTTTTTAAATATTTTCTATTATGTTCAATGGGGGGAAATTTTGTCATAATTATTGCATTAATACTAATTATAAATTTTTTTTATTTTTGAAATTTTCTCAAAACACCAAAAAAGAAAAATATTATAAAAAACGAGTAAAAAAAAAAAAATCATGATTTTTTTTTAAAATATGAATCTGGGTCCATTCGGACCCGAACACCCCGAGTGTGACTCTGAAACGAACAACCCCAGAGGGTTAAGAAATGGAGGGATGTGAGCCTAAAAAGTGATCATACCTTTCAGCAGAGCCTGTAGAATAGCTACGTCAACATCATAGTTTTTATCCTCATCAATACGAAACACCGTCAGCAGATGAGGCATCCGGATAATGTCCTGAATCTAAAGAATAAAATATAAAGAAAATTAAAATAAAATAAAAAATAAATACATCTTCTAGATCACTTATATATCATGTCCTATATATTTATAAAGAGTTCAGATGCAAAAGCCTCTAAGTGCCGTTTGAAATTTTCATCTAAAATGATAATTTTTATCAAGCTTGTATATTTAAGTTCAGTGATTTCAATTAAATGGCAATGATGATTACCTATTAATTGTTATTTAAGTGAAATTACTGAACTTAAATATACAAGTTTGATAAAAATCATCATTCAAGAAGAAAATTTCAAATGGCATTTAGAGGCTTTTGCATCTGAACTCTTCATATATAGTATATAATGTATACACAGGGCCTAGGATTTCTATCTTTAATATTAGGACATTATAAAAACAATTTAATCTAAGACAGTCTGTTTCGCAGTCACATCTTGATTGACACAGTTGACATCAGTTGATTACTTCATTGTATTGTTATTGTTTGTCACTGGCTCTAACTTACTATAAAATGATGCATCTGTTGAACGGGTCGCGATGAGTTGCGTTACAAGTTTGTGAAGTGGTTGCAACTAGTGTGTTACATGTTAGTGAAGCGGTCACAATGAGTGTGTGTTACGTGTTAGTGAAGCGGTTACAATGAGTGTGTGTTACGTGTTAGTGAAGCGGTTGCAATGAGGGTGCGTCATGTGTTAGGGAATGAATGTTGGTGTAGTGTAGTGGTCACAAAATATTTTAGAAATATATTAGAAATTTAGAAATGATTATTTTTTCTCAGCAAGGATACTTTAAATTGATCAAAAGTGACAGTAAAGACAAAAGATTATGTTTCAAGTAAATGCTGTTCTTTGTTACTTTATATTCGTCATAATCAAATAATACTGAACAAAAAAAGTACGAGTTTCCACAAAACATATGAAAATTCAGCTTTGATCACAGGCATTAATAACATCCTAAATCATATCACATAGAAAACAGTTATTTTAAATTGTAAAAAATATTGTACAATATTAAGAGTTTTTTCTGTATTTTTAATCTAATAAATGCAGCTTAGGTGAACAAAAGAGACTTCTTTCAAAATCATTAAAATGTTACAAGTTCTAAATAAGAACCATTTCTGGATTCATATGTAATTTTGCATTTGTGCGAAACTTTCATAATATGCATGTATGTTTTAGTCCATTACCTTTTTGGTCCACTCAATGACCTCCAGATCTTTAAAGCTTTTGTACTCTTTTCCAAAAAACCGCTTCAAGAGCTTGCTGATTAGGACCACAGTGACCTTTGACACCGCCAGGGTCGCCACCTGAGCAATGATATCAGCCAGGCGTCCAGATCCCTCGAGCACGACACACGGCGTGTTGTTCATCATTGAATTGTAGATTGTCTGAGAATAAATATGTGTATTTGAATTAATGAAAGAACATACAGCTTATTTATGATGATCTACCAAACTGATGACTTTAAAATCTCACATTTAGAGTTCCTGGACCACCATTCAAGACCACACAGACCACCGGTATCTTCGCGCCACTCTCTGATGAAAACACAATGCTTATAAACAGGCGAAACACTTCACAAATAATCAAAAGTGATCAGTGAGCAGTGGTAAAGAGCAAAGAAATCATAATTTATTCATCATTTTAAGATCATCTCTGTTACACTGGCAAAATTATTTTCATACTTGTATTTTTTGTACTTGTTGTTTTCCATTACAAAAATGTAAATACTCTTAAAACAAGATACATTAGTGGCTAAAAGTGATGTCCGGGGGGATATTTGTTCAAAATATAAGAAAAATATTTTATAGTGTTTAAATATTTTTAAATGAGGGAAGAAAAAAAACAACACTAAACTTTGTTAAGATATTTATCTGACAAAATTTTCTAGCAAAAAAGGCAAACTACAACTACAGGTTTTACATCACTATGCAAAAAGCATACATTGACTAGTACATATTGATATTCTGTTTGGTCTCTCTTGTTTTTTTGCATTTATATGACATCATGACCAAAAATATGTTGGCATAATTTGGCATGTTTCATTGCATTATTACCACAAATAAAAAAAAATCGACTTCATTCAATAAAAAAAACAGAAATAGAACACAAAATAATCTTTTAAATAAATTGGAATTTTAATAATATTTCAGATTTTTTTTCTGTATTTTTAAATAAAAATAAATTCAGGCATGATAACAGACTTCTTTCAATTCAAGTCATCCTCATTTATATAGCTCTTTTAGCAATGTAGATTGTCTCAAAGCAGCTTTACAGAGATAAACATAATTTGAGGTAAAATTGGTTTGGTTTTATAATAATGTTATTTTCCAGCTAAAGTTAGTTTTCTAGTAATATAAGGAAAGTGCTATTGAACAACACTTTAGAATAGATAATTATGTATGTAAATATGACTTTTTAGTGAGGGTTTATTGATGGTTGAAATAAAGAATGGATGAATGAATTAATTGATAGTAGTATTTGGGTGACTAATTATAACATTTTATATTGTATATTTTGTATTGTAATTCACCTGCTCGGGGACTGCAGATGGAAACTAGCTCAAGCTAAATCTGGTGCAAAGCATCTTTAATTAATGTTTTTTTGCACATTGTCCCTGTTGAAATAAATAAATAAATGAAATAAATGAAATGAAATGATTCACTTCTGTTGAAATGATCATTTGTCAAGACTAAACAGACTTTAAACTGAACCTGTGATAAACGCTGATGGCGTTCACATGCGCATTAAAAATTGATCCTACAGTTATGTGCATATGTGCACAGGTTTGTAATTCCCTACAAACCATAACTGAACAAATTGTCTTGCCTATAAATTTGATACAGAATTTTCAAAAACATTAAACAAATCATAACGACTCTAAACTTAGACTGATGGTTATTGTACAATAATTTATCATTACACAGCAAATCTATATTTGATCTACAGTATATTCCATTATGTGCCATGTAATTACTACTGTGATTGCAAAAACCAAATGATGAAATGATGTGTAATCTAATGAAGCTGCACCTCTGTTTCCCAGAGATTGTTGAGAGATGTGTCCCTCCAGATTGGTCCGCAGCTCAATCTCAGTTCCATACTTTCCATGAGTGCCATCATCCACCAGAATGAAGTGAGTGTGATTGATGTCGAGACACGAGCCCTGGCCTTGCTCATCCAGAGAGTAGTGTGCAGGGAAACAGCCCTAAAAGAGAACGATGACAAGACCTCATCAAACTTTGATGTTATAACATCGTCAATAGCGTCCAGTTGACAGCCAGTTATCAACATAAAAGCTAGATCTGGTTTAAAGGAGTAGTTCACTTTTGAAAAAACTTTTGCTGATAATTTACTCACCCCCATGTCATCCAAGATGTCCATGTCTTTCTTTCTTCAGTCGAAAAGAAATGAAGGTTTTTGATGAAAACATTCCAGGATTTTTCTCCATATAATGGACTTCAATGGGGTCCAAACGGTTCAAGTCCCAAGTACAAACTGCAAACTTGTTCAAAGGGCTTTAAACGATTCCAGACGATGAATAAGGGTCTTATCAAGCGAAACGATCACTCATTTTATAAATAAATATCAAAGTTTAAGTTTTATAAGCTCAAACGCTCGCCTTGCTGTGTTCTGTAACACACTCCTGCTCGAACTCGTCCATCAAAATGAACAAATCTTTTTCCGAGTCATTTGGTTCATTCGGCGAAAGAAACGAACGAATTGATTCGGAAAATGAGTTCGAGCAGGAGTGCGTTACAGAACACGGCAAGGCGACCATTTGAGTTTTTAAAACTTAAACTTTGTTATTTATTTATTAAATGAGCGATTGTTTCGCTTGATAAGACCCTTATTCATCGTCTGGAATCGTTTGAACAGTTCGCAGTTTGCACTGAAAGTTTCTTTTGGACCTTGAACCGTTTGGTCCCCATTGAAGTCCATTATATGGAGAAAGTCCTGGAATGTTTTCATCAAAATCCTTAATTTCTTTTCGACTGAAGAAAGAAAGACATGGATATCTTGGATGACATGGGGGTGAGGAAATTATCAGCAAAAGTTTTTTGAAAAGTGAACTACTCCTTTAATGCAGTGTTTCCCAACCCTGTTCCTGGCGGCACACCAACACTGCGTGTTTTCTTTGTCTCCCCAATCAAACACACCCGATTCAACCCATAAGCTCATTAACCCACCTGATTATGAGCTGATGGGTTGAGTCAGGTGTGTTTGATTGGGGAGACAAAGAAAACACGCAGTGTTGGTGTGCCGCCAGGAACAGGGTTGGGAAACACTGCATTATATGGACACACAATTTCCTGAACCAAATCACTTCTTAACTTTACACTGATCTTGGGTTGTTCATAATATGGTGCGTTCAAGTCTTCCTGTGAAGTTCGTGTTTACGACATCAGGCGAGTTAAATTCACTTTCATCAGAGCGATCTGTACCATCTCTTAATTAAACAAACACACAATGAAGCTGCTGTACACTTTATCATTGCAATGCTATTTTGAATAATGCAAGAATAAGCTTTGACAATATCACTGGCAAATATTCCAGCACATTTCTCACTGACACGAACAGGGCTTCCACTCGTATTTATGACCGTCCTGGTGTTCAAGTTCGTAAATATGATCTTATCAACATGACTCGAACGCACCAATGCTGTATGTATACAGGTGTGGGCAACATCTGACCTCGGGATGGATCAGTGTGTCTCTGTTGTGAATGACTCCCCAGGGTGCCACACCGATGACAATCATCTGTCCCTCCATCAAACCACTACTGAGTGTGTAATCTCTCACGGCCATGCCCACGTGCTTCATCACACCTGCGTTTGTTCCTCCCGTCAGGATCCACGCACCTGCCAAACACACAGAAGTGTAGTCGTCTCAAAACATCCAAAACTGGATTCTGCCGCTTATGCTAGACCTGTTTGTGACGGGTCTAATCCTCAGTCTGTATCATTGAGAGCTATACACTCACATCCGACTCATTTAAGGCATCATAAGCCCCTTTCACACTTACAGCCCTTTACTGGTAAATTACCATTAAGAGATCACAGGTGAAACTCGAAAAATTACAATATGGTGCAAAAGTTCATTTATTTCAGTAATTCAACATAAAAGGTGAAACTAATATATTATATAGACTCACTGCATGCAAAGTGAGATATTTCAAACCTTTATTTGTTATAATTTTGAGCTATTACAGCTATTAAAGCCTTTTCACAATATTCTAATTTTGAATTTGGGGTTTTCATAAGCTGTAAGCCATAATCATCAAAATTATAATAAATAAAGGCTTGAAATAGCTCACTTTGCATGTAATGAGTCTATATATTAGTTTCACATTTTAAAATGAATAAATTAACTTTTGCACATTATTCAAATTTTTCTAGTTTCACCTGTATGTGAACAGGACCTTCTCAAAAAATACCGGTAAATGGGTTCAGGTGATTTACCATATCATTTAAGTCCATAAATTGTGAAAAATTAGTTCAATGTACTCTATAGAAGAAGCCTGGTTCAACCAGACTCATTTGAAATAGTTCATTTCATTTCCACATAAAATGAAATTGAGCGGAAGTGCGTAGGAGGGCGCAGCCAGGCTACTATAGAAAGCAATGTATTGTATATAATTTGTAAAAAAATAAATGCAAAATCAATGAAATTTGGATATTTTATTTTATAATGAAATAAGGATATTTCAACATGCAAATGTTTTGTTAAATGATTAAAATATTAACTTGAAATCAAATCAAATTTTTAAATATGTATTTATCCAACTTTATATAGAGTGCTGTGTGATAATATAGTTTAGTTCAATCAAGCATTTGATATTTTATAGTGTATTATCACTGTATTACCTGTGGTCTGGGCGACTTTAATGAGACCCCGACGAAACTTGTCCTTCAGGTGATTCTTCATGTTGAAGTTTTTGGCTCCGCCGGTCACTGAAACCAGCAGGTTCGGCGGACGCAGTTTCCACTGTTCTGTCATCAGCTGGTACAGACTCTCACAGGTCGTGCTTGACGACACCCGGACATACTAAACACACACAACAGAATCCCTCCGATGAGTTCCTAATCCCTTCAAAGTTTACTACGAGTTTCCTCTCGTTCCGACCAAAACATTAGCTCCGGGAAAATGGAAGAGAAGCTAGCGCTAATCATTGCCGCTGCGGGGTTTCCATGACGTCATGAGCGCAACTTTTATTTGAAATATTTAGGAATGTTGCCTGTTTTTTTCTGTTTATTACATTTCATGTTGTGACACTTCTATTCTCCCCTCAAACGTCAGAGCGTTCAAAGCGTCAACAAGCTTCCCCGTACTTTTTGACAAGCGTCCTTCACAGAGCTTCTTTGACGCTCAAGTCGGCGGCGGTGTGAGCGTAACGTACTAAGCTCGCAACATATTTTCGTTCATTGGAACGATTGTTTTGGGAAAAAACCGACTCGTTGAACTATGCTGAACTTGCGACCATAGTATAACGATGCTTTCGAGAAACGCACCCCTGATTGGCACAGACTGGGGGAGATGCCACAAATCCGTGAGGATAACAAAACGTTAACGGTTTACAAACTCGTGGGAACGGATTACGAAAGCGAAGGCAAGGTTTACAAATCTGAGAGGCGGATAGGAACTCGTGGGTATTGTTTATTAATCCGTGAGCACAATTTGTGAGGGAACAGTTTAAGAATTTGTGAGTACGGTTTATAATCTGAGCGGACTTCACCACAGTTGTTCCATGAAAACACGAGCTGTTAAGTGATGCATATATGGTTGTTTCTACTTTGGTTTGAAAGATTAAAAGGTTTTAATCTCGGCATTTGTCCTCCGACTGCAACTGCTAGCGCTGTCACCGGAAAAAAGTTAACCCTACTTCCGGTCCAAGGGGGTAATCCATCGACCGGAAGTTGAAGCCTCGCGGGAGCTGACATCTTGTAGCAGAACTTCACTTGCGTTAGCATTCCCATTGACTCCCATTCATTTTGGCGTCACTTTGACAGCGAATAACTTTACACCTGAGGCGTTTGAAGACCCCATTTGTCCTTTATTTATTTCTAAAGAAACACGACAATGTATAAATAGCTCCATTACCTTGTAGCTTATGTTATGGCCCCGTAGAAGCAGTTTTAGTGAAAGTAGGCTAACAATTGCGTCATACCCACGCGACTCTCAGGAGGACAGGAGGAGAAGCTCACGCGCAATCGGGGAAACATGGAGGCAAAATGACAAAATAATTAATCAGAATACCTAGCAAAATGGTCTCCTTCTCCTAGCTCATGGACAGCTCCTATTCACACTCTCCGCCTCTGCACGTTTCAGAAGGGAATGATTCAGATTTCCAATGCCACAGCCACTAGAAGACAGACGGGTTGCTCTCGTCACATTACGTAGTCAAGCTCTGTTTGAGTCTGCGCGTCAGGGACGGAAGTGCTAAAAAATCGCCACAGATGGGCTTCAATTGTCTCAATGGAGTTCCAATGAGATGGCTCTGTCCATTTCTTTTACTGTCTATGTTCCGGTCTCGGCGGCCATTTTTGTGAAATAGGCCTGTGGGTGTGGCTTGCGGAGCTGTGCAATGTGGTGCATTGTGGGAGTTGTTGTCCTACAATATCAATGGAACCTTTCCAGTGGATAAAAGGTTCTTTGTAGTGTTAAAAGGTTGTTTAGATAATTAAAATGTTATTCAAACACAAAAAATGGTTCTTTTGACAACTGACTTCTGTAATGGATCTTGCTGGAAAAAAAAACACTTTATTTTTAAGAGTATATAATTGAAAGGAGGTCCGTTTGAATCAAGTCGTCATTTTACCTTCCCGGTTTTCTGTCCAAGTCCACCAAAGCTGATATCTCCGAAAGCATCGGTGGGCACCTCCCTGATGTGCCTCTGTCTGTGCCATTGCTCCCCAACATAGTCCTCCGGTTTGATGGCCTCATCGCAGTGCTGGTCCTTTTGGTAACCACAATTACAAATCCCCTCCCTGTCAACAGTAATCCATGTTATCCACACATGAGCTACAGCCCGACAACACACACACCACACATATTGTCCGAATGTTGCCGAAGCGATCAGGAGTGCACGTGATCTTCAGTTTTAGGCTCGTCACGTTGCATATGAACAACACATCGTGAATTATACTACATACACACACAACGACTTTTAAAAAAATAGGCTAGTTCACCAATATATATAGTGCACAAGTCATGATTATTTAATGCATCATTATTATTACAGTAAAAGCATGGTCATATTGATTTATAGTTACAATAATGAACAATTAAAAGATGTTTATCAGAAGACCTAAGTGCTCAAGATTGAGAGTGAAAGTACTTCGAAATCAATAAAGCATTAAAGATGCTACCGAAGGAAGTAATTTGGTCGTGTTTTCTTGTGCGGCTGCTAGGGGTGTGGCGGTTATTTAACTATATAGCTTAACATCGTCATTACAACTCTATATAACAACTATACAACTCTCCAAAAAAAATCAAAACCTGATTTACTCTCATTTAATTGAAGGAAATTATGATACAGCCAACCTTGATGCCATTATGGCGCTCTTATAAATAACAGAAGAAATATCAGCGTAACAGTGATCAGATATTACGTTATCTCCAATAATATCTTAAGATGATGTTTAACTATAACCCTGACCCTGTTGTAACGTAATGTACGATCGAGAGATGAACAATCACAGTTGAACATGATATGGATGATCACATGAACCTAAATCAATCACACGAATCAGAGGTTGTTTAGTAATGTCGATTCCTTAAAAGATTGCGTATCAAATATGATATCGTAAGTTTTATAGGATTAATGATTCAGATTTACAAGTCAAGATCATTAAACACCAGAACACACACACTCCTCATACCTGGCACCCTCCACATAGAAGCAACACTCTTCCTTCTTGATGTTGTCTTTAATCCAGCAGGCGAGCGAGCAGCGCTGGAAGAAGGGAGAGAGAGACAGATTTCGGCTGATTTGACCAGTGTACGCAGCGAGTGTTTGCGCGAGGTCCAGCTCATCCATGCTCACATCAGAGAGTGAATGAGACGGGTCGATGTATGGGAGGGGGAGGGTGTGTATGGGCAGGACGGTCTATAATGAAAAACTGCACTGCAGTCAGATCGATGTCAACACAAGGACGGGAGCGCTACTGAACTACGGACAGGGGCTGAAAGACTCAAAAACATGCTTTAAAATCGCTGGTGTTTCTCACGTCACAAACGACTTTGTAACCAATCAGATCAACGAGTGAGTGAGTGAGTGAGTGAGTGGAGGCGGGGCTCATTTGCATATTCATAGAACCGGGTATACTAAATGAGGCAATCAAAGATGAGTTTTAAGGGATACAATTATTGACTACAGGGGAACTTTAAATACATTTTTGCCCTCCACACTAACATGATAAAATCATAATATTTTTGCTTGGTTGATAAACAAGTCAACACTGATATAAATCAATGCAAGGAAGTGTTTGAGATATTATTTTAGTATCAATTATATAGTATAGTTTTTTTCATTCTATTTTTTTATTTTAGTGATTTTGTTTTTGTCATGTGTATTAGGTTTTGTTTTTAAATTTAAATAAATCGCATCCAAAATAAAAGTTTGTGTTTACATAATATATGTGTGTGTAGTGTGTATAATTATTTTGTATACATAAATACTCACACATGCATGTATATATTTAAGAAATATTTGCATGTATATACTTATACTAAATGTATATTATAACACATTTTTCTTAAATATACACATGCATATGTGTGTATTTATATATACAAAATAATTATACACACTACACACATATATTATGTAAACACAAACTTTTATTTTGGATGCGATTAATCGTGATTAATCATTTCACAGCCCTATTTTAAATATTTTTTTATTAAGTCTATTTAGTTTATAGTTGACCTTCTATGTTATTTCAGTTAATGTTTAGTTTATTTCACGAAATGGAAAAGGAGTAGTGATGGATTTTTCGTTCACTACTATATCCCTCAGGTGCTCTTTGGTCATTTCTGACTGAAAAATTTTCTGTTTTGAATTTTTAAAAATCACAGCTTCATCGGAATGTTACGAAACTTGGTGACTTTTATGGCATTATGTATGTGAATACAAAAAAAATTGAGGTCATGATCCGAGCATGCTAAGTGGTTGTAAAAAAATAGTCACACTTGTGGTCTTCGGTCAGAAATGACCGACCCATAGGAAATGAATGGGAAATTGACAAAAAAAAAAAAAAATTCTCTGAATTTTTGTACGTGCAATCTACAAATCGGCCACAATTCTAAAAAAAAAAAAAAAGTACACCGCAGGAAAGGGGTGACACTCTACAACATCTGTGCAAAACAGACAAACCCACACACACACACACACACACACACACACACACACACACAAACACACTTTTATACACATACACACCAATAAATTTTGATTACAGAAAGTATGTTTTGAATTTTTAAAAATCACAGCTTCATCGCAATGTTACGAAACTTGGTGACTTTTATGGCATTATGTATGTGAACACATCTGAGCATGCTAAGTGGTCTTAAAAAAATAGTCACACTTGTGGTCTTTGGTCAAAAATGACCCCCATAGGAAATAAATGGGAAATTGACAAAAACACAAAAATTCACAATTTTTTATTTATGTATTTATTTATTTATTTTTAATTTTTTTTTTATTTAAAAAATCGTTTTTGATATTGTTTCAACTATATATTCAAATCCACCAACAACAAAAAATGTGTTCATAAACAGCTGGGGAATTCACATGCCTCTCCATAGAGAGCTGTACATGCCATCTAGTGGTTACACCATGATTCTACACTTTTTCTCTATACTGTAACCAGATGGTGCTAATTTTCTTCTTCAAAAAAATTTTTTTTTGAAGGCCTAGACTCTATATTAAACTAAAATACTGCATTAATATTTTTTTGGAAAAAAAAAATGTATATAGAAAAAAATATATATTTTTCCATGGCAAAAATAGACCATAAATATTAATAAATTCAATCAAATTGTCTCAAAATACTGAATTTCAAAGAATAAATATTATAGAACAAAAATGAATTGCATTGGTTTTACTGGGATGGAGGAAATTAAATTTTTAGGTGTCCGGTCACTTTTGACCAGGAAGATAACAAGTGTGACTCCGAAACGAAGAGCACCTGAGGGATTTATTTAGGTAAAATGCCAGGAAATGTTTTAGACAAAGATAAATATCTATTAAAAATATTGCTAGCAAGCTGTAGGAAAGCAATAACCCGTAAATGGTCGCAGGTGGACCCTCCAACTAAGGATCAATGGCTAGGGATTGTAAACGAAATATACAGTATGGAGAGGCTTACATTTATATTAAGGCTCAAATTTGACAAATGTAACACGTTTTGGGAAAAATGGATTATGTATGTAAACCATTGAGTGTGATATTATATATCAAGATGTTGGAATTATTTTGTGATACTGTCTGATATTGCAACATCCATGATAACTTTTGTGTTCTTTGTTCCAATAAAAAAAAAAAGTAAAAAAAAAAAAGTTTTATGGTTTTAGTTTCACGTGTTTTATATGTTGCAACTTTATTCAGTTGATTAATTATACTTTCTGTAGACCACGTTAATATTTGCATTAGGCTATAGTTTAAATTTCACTGACAGGTTATATTAGAGATGCACCAAAACTACAGAATATCTGATTTTCTTGAGGAAATTAATGCAGCAAACTACATTTACATTTACACGCTTTTAAAGCAACTTACAAATGAGAACAATAGAAGCAGTTAAACTAACAATATACAAGTGCTATGACCCTTCCCAGTTTAATCTAATGCAGTACATGTCATTTTTTAAATTATTATTTTTTTTTTAAATAAATAAAATAGAAAAGAACGCATTAGTATTACTCGATCAAGCCCTGCCGAAAAAGATGCGTCCTTTTATTTGGTACATTACTATAATATTAAAGGTAATTATATTAAACTGATGTTTATTTTCACACATTATAATTGCACTAAAATAAAAACTGAAATGTTTGTATGCAACTCGGTTGCATATGGTAGTTTAGGACCGCTTGCTCGTGTCATTTTATTATTGAAATGATCTTTTCATCTAAAATATGTAAACACAATAGCTCTCACCTTCTCGGTGTTTGAGAATAAACTTGTCAGATTTCCTAATTGGATTTTGCTTGAATCCGTCGGATGGACTTTCTCCTCTGATGTGAACGGCATCTCTGCACACAAAACATTTTCTTTTTAATAATAATGATAAACAGAGTCTCGGAAAGCAAAACATCTTGTTCTACAAACACACACAGGAACTGTGAAACTGATAACATCCTTGAAAAAGAAAAAGCTTATTTTTGTTATACTTTAAAACACATACTAAATTAAGAAACTCTTTTAAAGACAAAACAAACAATATAACAGATTTTTAAAAGTGACTTTAGCTGTTTGGATGTTTGAAATATCAGAGTTTTGGATTCTTTTACCTCTTAGGACTGTGATTAGTAATGGTCTCCTTCATATGATCATCATTTTATATTCTGACTGAGTTTCAAACTGAAGAAAGGAGAAGAAAAAGAAGAAAAATCCATGCTGAAAGCGTGACATTAAACACTTTGGTTAAGTTTACTACTAGTCACCAAAACAAGTTACCACAGCAATGGTGAGAGTGAAAGTACTTTGAAATCAATAAACCATTAAAGATGCTACTAAAGGAAGTAATTTGGTCATGTTTTCTTGTGTTGCTGCAATATGACGGTTATTATATAATCTTGAGACCAACGGTTATAGTTGAACACTCAATAACCGGCAAAACCGTGTTATTAAAACATCTTGCAGATGAGGTTATCCTCATATCAGTGTTGGGGAGTAACGAAATACATGTACCGGCAATACGTATTATGAGTAACAGTAGTCTCCACAGAACAATGTTACGGATGTGATCGGTCTGAAAGCTACGGAGGCGTATTGCATTCACTTGAAGAAAAAAAATCTACTCTGTTTTTCTGAATTAACGAGTTAATTTTTCATGAGAAAAAATTTTTTGCTCTGTTTTTCTGAATTAATGAGTTAATTTTTAATGGAATTTTTTTTTTGCTCTGTTTTTCTGAATTAATGAGTTAATTTTTAATGGAATTTTTTTTTTGCTCTGTTTTTCTGAATTAATGAGTTAATTCAGAAAAACAGCAAAAATAAATTTTCTCATGAAAAATTAACTCATTAATTCAGAAAAACAGAGCAAAAACTTTTTTTCTCAAGAAAAACTAACTCATTAATTCAGAAAAACAGAGCAAAAACTTTTTTTCTCATGAAAAATTAACTCATTAATTCAGAAAAACAGAGCAAAAACTTGTTTTCTCATGAAAAATTAACTCATTAATTCAGAAAAACAGAGCAAAAATTTTTTTCTAATGAAAAATTAACTCGTTAATTCAGAAAAACAGAGCAAAAAAAATTTCTCATAAAAAATTAACTCATTAATTCAGAAAAACAGAGCAAAAACTTTTTTTCTTATGAAAAATTAACTCATTAATTCAGAAAAACAGAGCAAAAACTTTTTTTCTCAAGAAAAACTAACTCATTAATTCAGAAAAACAGAGCAAAAACTTTTTTCTCAAGAAAAACTAACTCATTAATTCAGAAAAACAGAGCAAAAACTTTTTTTCTCATGAAAAATTCACTCATTAATTCAGAAAAACAGAGCAAAAACTTTTTTTTCTCATGAAAAATTCACTCATTAATTCAGAAAAACAGAGCAAAAACTTTTTTTTCTCATGAAAAATTCACTCATTAATTCAGAAAAACAGAGCAAAAACTTTTTTTCTCATGAAAAATTCACTCATTAATTCAGAAAAACAGAGCAAAAACTTTTTTTCTCATGAAAAATTCACTCATTAATTCAGAAAAACAGAGCAAAAACTTTTTTTCTCATGAAAAATTCACTCATTAATTCAGAAAAACAGAGCAAAAAAAAATTTTCTCATGAAAAATTAACTCATTAATTCAGAAAAACAGAGCAAACATTTTTTCTCATGAAAAATTAACTCGTTAATTCAGAAAACAGAGCAAAATTTTTTTCTAATGAAAAATTAACTCGTTAATTCAGAAAAACAGAGCAAAAAAAATTTCTCATAAAAAATTAACTCATTAATTCAGAAAAACAGAGCAAAAACTTTTTTTCTTATGAAAAATTAACTCATTAATTCAGAAAAACAGAGCAAAAACTTTTTTTCTCAAGAAAAACTAACTCATTAATTCAGAAAAACAGAGCAAAAACTTTTTTCTCAAGAAAAACTAACTCATTAATTCAGAAAAACAGAGCAAAAACTTTTTTCTCATGAAAAATTCACTCATTAATTCAGAAAAACAGAGCAAAAACTTTTTTTTCTCATGAAAAATTCACTCATTAATTCAGAAAAACAGAGCAAAAACTTTTTTTTCTCATGAAAAATTCACTCATTAATTCAGAAAAACAGAGCAAAAACTTTTTTTCTCATGAAAAATTCACTCATTAATTCAGAAAAACAGAGCAAAAACTTTTTTTCTCATGAAAAATTAACTCATTAATTCAGAAAAACAGAGCAAAAACTTTTTTTCTCATGAAAAATTAACTCATTAATTCAGAAAAACAGAGCAAAAAAAAATTTTCTCATGAAAAATTAACTCATTAATTCAGAAAAACAGAGCAAACATTTTTTTCTCATGAAAAATTAACTCGTTAATTCAGAAAAACAGAGTAGATTTTTTTTTCTTCAAGTGAATGCAATACGCCTCCGTAGAAAGCGCCGCTAAAAGACGTAACATTTAATCACATCTCACAGAGTAAAATGTTCACAGAAACATCAAACGCAACGGTTATAAATGAGGCCCCAGGAGTTTTAGCTTAGAAGTGATCCCAGAACATTTTCAGTGAACTCTGAGCAAGGAATGGATGGAAAATCCTATCTAACACACTCTATGTTGAAAGACTTCACCTCTATATGAAATAAGAACACATCTGATTGGTTCTGTATGATTGGTTCTTCATTTACTACCTCTTTTGTTACTGGGTAGAGGAGACTTTGTTTAAATGATCACTTCATTGATGTCATCTGTCTAGTTCCATTTCGTGAGCTTAGAATTATAAGGTTCTATCTCTGTTTAGGGTAGTTCTGAGATATCGAGCATCAAAGTTTTTACATCCCAGCTGGCAAAACTGTTATGTAGCATAATCTTATATTATAGCTTATTAATCTTTTTACAAAAAGAACACCACACAGGCATTGAAGGTAATTTCCTCACCCCCATGTCATCCAAGATGTCCATGTCTTTCTTTCTTCAGTCGAAAAGAAATTAAGGTTTTTGATGAAAACATTCCAAGATTTTTCTCCATATAATGGACTTCAATGGGGACCAAACGGTCCAAGGTTGAAAAGACAGTTAATAACAGTTTCAGATGCAGCTTCAAATGTCTTTAAACGACACCAGACGATGAATAAGGGTCTTATCATGCGAAACGATCAGTTAGTTCAAAACTTATTCCAAAAATGTAACTTTTCTAAGGACAAATGCGAGCCTTGCTCTATTCTGTGAGGCGCGTTTGTAACGTCACATAATATGTAATTACGTTCAAAAGGTCACGGGCGACGTAGCCGGAAGTACAGAATCAGTGTTTACAAGTTGAACGCATAGGTTGAACGTGCAAACTAACTCAAACACCGTTTACAAAAAAATGAATTAAAAGGTAAAACAACGATGTCGGACGATTTTGATTCTGTACTTCCGGCTACGTCGCCTGTGACCTTTTGAACGTAATTACGTATTCTGTAACGTAACAAACGCGCCTCACAGAATAGAGCAAGGCTAGCATTTGTCCTTAGAAAACTTACATTTTTGGAAAAGGTTTTGAAATGAGCGCTCGTTTCGCATGATAAGACCCTTATTCATCGTCTGGTGTCGTTTAAAGACATTTGAAGCTGCACTGAAACTCTCATTTGGACCTTGAACCGTTTGGTCCCCATTGAAGTCCATTATATGGAGAAAAATCCTGGAATGTTTTCATCAAAAACTTTAATTTCTTTTCGACTGAAGAAAGAAAGACATGGACATCTTAGATGACATGGGGGCGAGTAAATTATCAGCAAAAGTTTTTTCAAAAGTGAACTACTCCTTTAATAAACACCTAATGGATCAGATTATGTCAAAAACTCACTTTCGACCAAAAGTGGAGATAGAACCTTATAATTCTAAGCTCACGATTTCTCATATTTGTTATTTATACGCACAATCAAGCGTTTGACACACACATTTATCTAATCTAAAGTACAAAATGTCTTAGAGATTTAGCAGATAAATGAGTTCAACTGATAAACCATGGTTATAATATTCAGTTTAAAATTTCCCTTTGAGTTTGTGCTGAATACAGTGTAATAATAGTTTAGCTATGAAAATGTCACAAGTAACAGAAAAAAAAATACACACTTCGGAGCATGTCTGAACTCCTCCAGCACCCAGAAAACATCTTAGACCCCTAAGGGTTAAACACCTGAAATTCCATCTGATCTGCTTATCACACACACACACACACACACTCCTCATACCTGGCACCCTCCTCATAGAAGTAACACTCTTTCTTCTTGATGTTGTCTTTAATCCAGGAGGCGAGCGAGCAGCGCTGGAAGAAGGGAGAGAGAGACAGATTTCGGCTGATTTGACCAGTGTACGCAGCGAGTGTTTGCGCGAGGTCCAGCTCATCCATGCTCACATCAGAAACAGCGAGAGTAAATGAGACGGGTTGATGTATGTGAGGGGGAGGGTGTGTATGGCAGGACGGTCTACAATGAAAAATTGCACAGGGACGGAAGCACGGACAGGGGATTATCAAATTACACCGCAACTTCAGCAGTCAAAATTACAGTACTGGAAATGCATGAACTGATACAATATACATTGAAAAAAAGTTTTTAATGTTGTTTATGGGTTTTAATACACTTTAACACACACCATGAGTAAATTCATAAGTCGAGTATTTCCTCCTTAAAACTGCAGTGAATTAAAGACAGTCTCAAAAACACGGAGTGAAATCGCTGGTGTTTCTGATGTCACTAATCAGATCAACGTGTGATCGTCAACCAATGGATCTCTGAGTGAGTGGAGGCGGGGCTCATTTGCATATTCATAGAACCGGGTATACTAAATGAGGCAGTTTTAAGGGATACAATTATTGACTACAGGGGAACTTTAAATACATTTTTGCCCTCCACACTAACATGATAAAATCATAATATTTTTGCTTGGTTGATAAACAAGTCAACGCTGATATAAATCAATGCAAGGAAGTGTTTGAGATATTATTTTAGTATCAATTATATAGTATAGTTTTTTATTTTGAACTTGATTTTTATAGCTACTTTCTGTTTTCATTTCCATTTTTGTTTTTGTCATGTCTATTAGGTTTTGTTTTTAAATATTTTTTTATTAAGTCTATTTAGTTTATAGTTAACCATCAGTTAATATTTAATTTTTATTTAATGTTAACAGTATTTTACGTAAATGCCAGGTTATCACACGTGTTGCAACTT